TGGGGACCCCCCACCCCAGAATGAGGAAACACCCCCCCAGGTTTCTCACCACCAGCAACCTGGCAGAGGGATTCTGGGAGTTGTAGTCCCCCAATCCCTCCTGTCCCCCCCCAAGCCTTACCTTTAGGAGGTGGGGGGGATCCTAAACGACACACCTGTATGAGGTACCGCCAGAACCCATGATGCTCCCACATCCCTGAGGGGCGAGGCCGCTGTTGTCAGGGCTCTGCAGAAGGGTGTCCACTTTTTAAATCTACTTTTTTTTTTTGTATCTTTGCAACCCTCTTTCGAGGGGGCTTTAGGGCACAGGGTCCCGAACCTGACACACACACACCCAGGTGTTTTCGGACTAAAACTCCCAGGAACCTTCCCCTCTAGCGTTGCAAGCCGGGAGGTTTTATTAATTTCTATTTCTTTCCATTTATATTTTTGTTGTTTAGTTGTTAAGTTGTTTAGTTGTTAATGTCTGACCATTCATGACCCCATGGAGCAGAGAGCACGCCAGGCCCTCCTGTCTTCCACGGCCCTCCGGAGTTGGATCAAATTCATGTTGGTCGCTTCGATGACCCTGTCCAGCCATCTCGTCCTCTGTCGTCCCCTTCTCCTCTTGCCTTCACACTTTCCCAACATTAAGATCTTTTCCAAGGTGTCTTCTCTTCTCATGAGATGGCCAAAGGATTGGAGCCTCAGCTTCAGGATCTGTCCTTCCAGGGAGCACTCAGGGTTGATTTCCTGCAAGATGGATAGATTTGTTCTCCTTGCAAATCTTTTGATCTTGAAGGTGTCACAGGACGCATAGAACAGGCTGAGATGAGCAAACGCACCTCCTGGATGATTCCCCAGTTCTTCCTTTCAAACATCCCCCCCCCAAAAAAAATGTGTGTTTGGGAATCCTTGATGTATCCCTCCATAGGTCGTGGACAGAGTGAGGGACCAGGACTCCAGAGATCCGGGTTCAAATCTCTGCTCAGCCACGGAAACTCACTGGGATGGGGCCGGAACTGGTAAAACCACTCCTTAAGTATCTCCTCGTGTCTCTCAAAACCCACATTAGGGCACCTTCTGTCAGAGGCAACTGGACAGCAGAAAAGCCATAATAAGAATAAAAGGGCACCTCAAGAGACAGAAAGCCTTCGTTTCAAGCCAGCCCAATGCTGGAAGCGACAGGGTGGCCTCAAATGGGTAATTAACAACAATAACACTTACATTCCCGAAACAGATCTTTTTGCTCATTCACACCCGTTGGGATTGAAGGACGGAAAGTTGCTTTAAACGAACATCTAGCGCCCCTTTGTGGGGTACAATAGAAAAG